AATGCCCTGGCAGCTTCCTCTCTGCCATGCGAACGGCTCCCAAAATAGGGTTTAGGGTTTAGGGTTCTATACCACTTCGCCTGTAGGGGCCTGCATACTTACCAATATCATGTCCAGGTCTATTCGAAGTACCTATACCGTAAGTGCACGAGTAATCGAAGACCATAATTTTCGTGATTACACCTAAGAAACCGCTATATAAACCCAGTTTCCATTAAATTGCTTATGTTCTTTTCCTTTTGATTCTCCATTATTCGGGTAATACACGCTATCACCCCATTTCACCATGTGACCCTTATGTAATTCCAAGGCTTCTCGGGTAGTCTGTGGGGATGACCTCTGCGGTTATATTGGGGATATATGGGGATAATGGAAAAGAAAATGGAAACTACAGGGATTATAGGGGTTATGTAGAGGTTATAGGGGTTATATTTGGATAATGAAATGGAAACTACAGGGATTATAGGGGTTCTATAGAGATTATAGGGGTTATATTGGGATAATGGAACAGAAAATGGAAACTACTATTTAGGCTCCAGGGGGTTAGGAGTTAGGGTTTAGGGTGAAGGGTTTAGGGTGTCGGATGCAGATGCTGTGGCCCTGGCAAAGACATTGTCCATGAAGTGCCATCTGTAGTGGCTGACTCCTGCCGCACAGCTTCAGGGATACGCTTTAAGGTTGAGGGCGTCAACTTTCCAGTTTCTCAAAATGTCCTCTATGTATCAAAGCCCTAGCCAGGACCCCCATAATCCTCGCATAATCCCTGTATACCCCTTGAACCCTGAACCCCAAACCCTAAACCCATACCCCTAGAGTCGTACCCCCAATTTGGGAAACTGGGCGCACCTAGAAACTTGTAGTTGAAGCTCTCGCCCACGTGGTATATGGTCGAGGTCAGAAAGCAGAAGAAGCCTCAGCCGGTAAGGAAGCGGGCCTTCTTTGGGAGCTGGAACCTTCAATATATATATATATACATATGTATGTGTGTGTGCACATCTCTATTTATTTATATATATATATACACACACAAGTTTATATGTATGTTAACATCTATGTGTATATATATATATATATGTGTGTGTTTATATATATATATACATATCAGAATCTATAGACATAAGTCTGAATCAGGAAAGATAATACCCTCGTATCCTGTAGTGTCGGCCGACCAAGCCCCTGTCATGTGCCGTGTTCTTCCCCTCCCACCTGTGGGCCTGTGGGTGTGAGGGGGTTGGATAAGATTTGCAGGATAAGGCCTAAACCCCAAACCCCAGACCGGTTGCGTGGGAGGCTTTAGGAAATTAGGAAAATGTCTGAGGAATGTGGAAGATTCCGGAAGTTTATATGGTGTAACGGCATAAGGTGCTTATACCGATCTGCAAGTGAACATGTGGAGATGGGCTATCATTCCTTGGGAGTGAGTTTAGGTTTTAGGGCTAGGGTTTAGGTGGTTTTGGAAGCAAATAAAGGCTCTTCACGAGAAGTTGGAGATGTGTGACTGCAAAATTCCGAACGATTGCGCCCGAAACTGAGCCATCTCCCGGAATATAAGGATGTGTATATGGGGGGTTCGCAAATTAATGGTACCTTTTTGGGGGTCCCTATAATAAGGACGATAGTATATTGGGGTCTACATTGGGATCCCCTTATTTAGGGAAACTACCATATATACATATATACACATATATACATACTTATATTAGGTAGGATTCAGGGTTTAGGGCCCCACCCACAAATAGTGACACCAAGGGATAATAGTATTTCTACTAGGGTCCCTATATATTCCTATAGTTCCGCTATTACTGGGACGGGGGCCCAACCCAAAATATATACTCGCGCGGCCAACAACCGGGAACCCTTCATCTGCCTCACCACGCAGCAGATCATGCTCTCAAACCTCATATGAGCTATAATCTAAACTCCTTAAAGAGGGTTATATAGGGGATTCTATAGGGGAATATAAAGGGGGATGCTAGGGCTTTAGACGAGAGCTCATATCCTTCCCTCACCAGGCAGCAGATCATGCTTTCAAACTTCATATCCTTCCGGTATGTGAGGAAAACCGTAGGAAGAAGTGCCAGATTCGTCGCACCAGTCCATCCGGCCTCAAGTCGTTTAGGGTTATAGTCCCCCTTAAGAAGATAGAATATGCGGTATATGGGGATTTTAGTATAATATACCCAAAGCCATATTCCAACCCAAGGCCATGTTCCATCTACTTTAAGGGGGACTATAAGGGTTTAGGGTTTAGGGCAGGGGGGTGCTAGAGATCTGGAGAAGCAGTCATGAAAGAAATCTAAGCAACAGTTCAACAAGGGATCTCTTGAAAGAGTTTGTGGTGGCTATGCAGCGGCTACATGGGGGTTATATAGGGATATGTAGGGGTTAGGGCTTAAGAATGGAAAATCAAATGGAAAAGAGCAAGCCAAGTGACACTAGAAATCGGTTCATGTAGGGGTTATATAAAGGGACTATGCAATGTAGAAGCCTGAATACTTACCTTTATCATTTGAGGTCCATTTGCAGTACCCTCTTCTGTGATTGTATATGGCATCTAGGACCATGATATTGGTAAATGTCTGGGCTTCTACGTCACAATTCAGACATAGATGAAGTGCGTGTGTGTGGATAATAAACATACATATATGACTTACATATACATCTCTCTCATAATCTGATTGTACCCTTCGGCGACGAGACCTGAAGGCTACACGTGTGTGGGAAGTTCTCCCAGTGATCCTTTACTCCACGGACCTCCTATGTAGTCTTCACGATCCTTAAATTTCTCGTCTTGCCGAGCGTACCTTGCATGCTTTGATACCATGCCCGGCATCTACCTGGTGCTTTGTAGGGAGGCTGTGTTGCAAAGATCTTTCTTGCCTGGGCCTCAACAAGACCATGTTGGTACCCGTTCTCTCATTCCCCGCTACTGGCCTTAGCATTTTGCAAAACTCGAATTCACTCTCCAAAGTGGAGAGTCTGCGGAAGCATCTAAATCTCTTGAAGCATCGACCAGTATCTCTGTGGCGGAACCCGGTAAATCGTGTTCTTCTCATAAAACACTGCAACAAGCAAGGGGAATACAGTCTGAGTCTAAATTGGCTACTACGGTATCAACACTATGATATCCTCCCTAAACCCTCAACCCTTAACCCTAAACTGAACCCTAGACGCCAAACCCTAAAATCAAGACTCCTAGCTGGCTCCGGAGGCCTGGAAAGCTTGGAACTCGAAAGGTACCGGTGGCGGCGGAGGAGGCGCGGGCGCTTTTACCATGTTGGCAACTACTCATTTGCTGTCAGGGAAATTAATTCAAGTTACTATATTGGGGAACCTCTATAATTTACTATGTATGCCAGTATGGTAAATTAATTTCAGTTCCTCAACAGCAACCCAGACTATGGGGGCAGCAGACTCAAGGATTTCACTCAGATTGATGTGACCTGCTCACACAAATGACAATATCATCAACCCTGATCACAGCAAACATGATGCGCGTCGCTGTACTCATAACTAGTAATAATAGTAATAAAAGTGAAATAATAGTCATAATCGCCAGAATAGTAGTAATAATTATTATCATAGGAATAATAATACAGCTCAATGATTCGCCTATTGCTTTGAGAAGGATTCATGAGAAAACACTCTTCCCTCTCAGGGATGCATTGCAAGTCATCAGGGCGGCCTTGATAAAGAGCAAGGAACCAGGCATTAAGGCACCTTGTAATGTATACAGTACACCAACACGGACCAAGAGGGATGTTGATGAATTCCCATGCAGTCTTCCATACCCTTAGAAGCTGAAGCCAAACAACACATGCGTCGCGCAAGCGTGAGCTTCGTGCCGACGCATACTCCTCGCTTCTTCCGATCAAACGAGAACCTAGCGAAAATGATCCCAATGCCTCTTTGTATCGCAAGATTCTCTCCTGTCGACTCTCCTGTAGAGCTTCACTGTTACTGATGTTCGGACATAAACCAGAAGCATTGCTATTCACAACACCGCTTAACACGGCTGTACCGGACTGCCCAATGTGTTGAGGAAAGCCTGTGAAAATCGCATGTGAAGTACAGTGCACTACCAGTATATGTATATATACGTATGTATATACACAGAGTTCCAGGACTAAATATCAGGGACACTACTGGTGATTATTCAAGCGTAAGCCCTACACGCATCCTGCCTGGGCTCTGCGCCACAATAAAGCAATTCACCTGGGTCCGTGGCTTGCGTCCACGGTGTGGCATGGCACTTGTGACAAAAGCCGCTCAGTATCAAAGGGCATGCTGTCAGATACCTGTAGGGATCTAAACCCACACTCCTAAATCCTAAATTTAGGGATACGGGAGCTCTGTTGGGAACGTCATGCTCAAGATGTCACTGAGCATGTGGCAATCAAGTCTCAAGCCCTTGCTTATTCTTCACGAGCATTCCCGTGTAATGCTGAAGCATGGGAACCTTAGGGAACCCTTGCCGGAGTCCCTGTAACAAGGATCACCATATTTGGTGCATATACTTGGGTATTTACTTGGCTTTGGAGATAAATTATAGTTTTCAGACTGGGCCCCGGGCGCGGTTGCCGCAGGGAACGGACGGATCCACTCAGCGCGCGGTGCGCTCGAACGGAGCGGGTCGCTAGAGCTTCCACGATGGCTACGGCAACTGGTCTTGCAAGCTGCTCTCCATACCTTGAAGGAGTTTCTCAAAATGATCCCTGTACGGCCTTAGGGGCCCCATATTTGAGAAACTCCCCCCATGAATTCAAGAACTGGGTATGCGCCGTGGTGACAGCAGCCATGTCTCTCTTTCTGTCGCAGCAGAGGTAAGGAGACACGCACCCTCCTCAGCAGTCTAAAGCTAATCCTCCTGGAGCTGTGACACCACATTTCAATTACCAAGAAACACAAACCTGACTCCTATCATGTACTGACAGACTCGCCGTCTCAACCTAGTCGCATAGTTTTACTATCTTTCCCACTGGTAGAATTCTGTGGCCGCTTCACTTGGTGCTCTCAGAACTGTTGGTGCCATTGATCTGGTTGATGTTGTCCAGCAGCTTGAGGGTTTCCTCCAGAGACCTTGGAAGCTCGCAGCCGCGAAACAAATTGCACAGGGAAGAATTGTAGGCCGGGCATGGCTTGTCGTGGTGGTGGAGGTGATTTTCCTCAAAACCAGAGGACTTTTCTGTTCATGGGGGGTGCGAAATGGGCCTTCGCTCTTTTGTTCTTGGTAGTCGTACCAGAAAGATGCCAGCTAGATACTGGATGCACATGCAGCCCTCACGTTGATAATCGGCCATAATGCAGAAACACACACCCAAAGCAGCTTTCACAAGTTCATCTGACTCCTGGACTAAAGTTCTAGTATATTCCTTCATAGGTCCCCCTTATACCCCCTCTAAATATACATAGGTATATATATATATATGCTACCCCCCCCCTCAAAACCTACCTTTTCTTAGAAAATCATAGCCTCCGCACTAGATTTGAATGATTTTCTACCTTTTTTCTAAGGTATCTATCCTATAGAGTGCAGCATTACGCTATGTTACTCTTTCCTAAACTCCAAATTTTCCAT